GTTGCCATAACTATTATGATGATGGTTATTATGGTGATAACCAAAACCATATTACAGGTCCACTATAATGCTAGCACTGGTGCCTAACAGCCTTTCAGTGTCTGTGGATGAGCATAGTGCACTATTCTAAAATGGAACCAATGTTCAAACCACTCTGAAGGACATTTCATCTCTTCCACCTTTTGTGTTACTTAAAGGAACATATTTACAAGGCAGCAGCCGATTTAAAAACCATCCGTGGAGGAAAAGCAAAATTCTTTTGTACATGCCTATGTTTGAAGGACCTGCATCCTTCAAGTTAGAATTTATCAGAGGAGCCAATTATTTTTTTCCGAATGTGAATACACACAGTGAAATAGGGCAATTTCTTTCAAAAAGCATCATTTTTTTTTCCTTCATGCTTCTGCCTTGAGTAGGAAGTGTTTCTAGTTTGGCTCTGAGTGCAAAGGGAAGAGGAAAGAGGCTGTTTTCTTCCTTGCCTATTTTAAAACTGGGTTCCCTGTGCAGCAGCAATTCACCCCATCACAGCCCAACCTTTTACATAGGTGTCACCAGACCTATGAACGTAAATCGCCGAAACGCACTTCAAGTGTTACAGTTTATGAAGATATTTAGAAAGTAATGCTTTTCATTTTGCTGCCCTTTCAACCTTTCTGTGTGCTTGAAAACTTCAGAATAAAAAGTTGGGAAAAGGAAAAAAAGAAAAAAAGAAAAATAGAGAGGAAGAGGGACTATTGACTCCTAACTTTTAAGCAACCAAGATCTCCAAAATGTAAAAAATATGAAATTCTTGCCAAATGACAGCACAGAGTAGAAGTTCAAAATATTCACAAGGCAGTTATATTTGTAAGGCTGCCCATCAGTAGGTTGTTATTGTTCCTGGCACAGAGGACACAAAATGATGATTGCACAGCTGAAAATAAATCTCTCTTCTCTGGAATCCCACATCTCAGCAAGTAGGGGCTCCCTGCTTGGCCATATCTTTGCTCTCTGACCCTCCCCTTTATGTCTGGGGCTAAGCCGTGATGGAGTCTTCTCTGGGATTTTCCAAACTAGAACTCAGACGAGACAGTCCTTCTCTGATGGAGAAACCATGAGATGGGAGGATGAGAGGCTTGTTTTCTATCTGTGGAGAAACTATTTTATGAGAATAAAGTCAATATGCAGAGAACAAAGAAGAAGGGCTCAGTGGACCGAGTGCTAGAACGAGCCAGCATTTAAAGGCCAGGAAAATCAGGAAGGACTAGCAAAGGTTTACATCAGTAAGAATTCAATGGAGGAAATGAGTATTTCCAGGACTCTCAATTTTCTATCAAATCTCTTCACTCACACCTTGTCTCATGGTTTTATATACATTTTAAAACCAGACTCCCAAATGTTTATATCTAGCCCTGAGCTTTATTCTGAAGTAACTCCTATTTGACATCTCCACATGGGTATCTTACAGGTATCTCAAATTCAGAATGTTCACTACTGAACTCCTGGTCTTCCTCCAAAACGTTTGCTCCCAAAACCTTCTCCATTCCAGTTAATGGCCACTTCTTCCTTCCAGGTGCTCCAGTTTAAATTCCAGGGTCATTTTCGATGCATCTCTTTCTCACATGCTAATGCTCGTATCAGGAAATGACTCAGCTTTCCATGAGATGCAGACTCTTGCCACCATCCTCATTGACCCCACTGGGGCCAAGCACCATCGTTTTTTGCCTGGATTACTGTTAATAGCCTCTTGTCTCTCGGCTTCTCCCTGGCTGTGCTAACCACACAGCAGCCAGCGAACGTCTTCTCATCTCACTTAAAAGTCAGATCATATGATTCCTTTCTCCACTGTAGATCCTTAAAACAAAAAAAAACAAAAAACCCAGGCTGGGCGCTGTGGCTCACGCCTGTAATCCCAGCACTTTGGAAGGCCATGGCGGGCAGATTGCCTGAGGTCAGGGGTTTGAGACCAGTCTGGCCAACATGGTGAAACCCATCTCTACTAAAAATACAAAAAACTTAGCTAGGCGTGGTGGCGGGCACCTGTAATCCCAGCTACTCAGGAGGATGAGGAAGGTCGCACTCTAGCCTGGCTGACAAGAGCGAAACTATGTCTAAAAAAAAATAAAAATAAAAATAAAACAAAAACCCACAGAAGAAAAATCTTTGCCATGACCTACAAGCTAGGAGCTGAACGCTCCTGCTCTTCAGCCCAGCCTCCTCTCTCTCTCCGCCCACCTCACCACCTCCCACCCCATTCTGCCCCAGCCAGTCCCTTTGCTGGCTGTTCTGACTAGGCTGGCACATTTTCACACGTCCTCCTTGGGGTCTTAGCACTTGCTGTTCCTTCTGCCTCAAACATACATCTGCCCAGGCACGTACAGGACCAGCTCCCTCACTTCCCTCAGGCAGCTGTGGGGACGTCACATCAGCAAGGTCTTCCAGAATCATTCCACCTCAAATCACACCCCTTCCCCCTGCCTTTCTCTACAACACATATCACCAGTTAATACTTCATACATTTTTATATGTGTCCCTCTCACTAGAATTTTGATCCATAAGAGGACATTTTGCTTTCTTCATTGTCTTTTTAGCGTTAGAACCATGCCTATTGCAGGATAGGCTCACAGAAAAACGTTCACTGAAGAATCCAATACATTTCTTCTTTTGCTCAAGCTAGATTGAACTAGTCCAGTTACCAACTGGTGTTAAGAGTTCTTAAATTTTACCTCAGTCAGAGAACACCACACACTGGGGCCTGTTGGGGGAAGTGGGTGCTGGGGATAGGGAGAGCAGGACAAATAGCTAATGCATCCAGGGCTTAATAGCTAGATGACAAGCTGATGGGTACAGCAAACCACCATGGCACACGTTTACCTATGTAACACACCTGCACATCCTGCACATGTATCCTGGAACATAAAATAAAATTAAATAAGAATTAAATAAAAATTTTACCTCAGTCACACATTTATTAAAATGTATCAGGTTACTTAATTTTTTTCCTACATTTTCCCATCTTCTCACTGACCTTTAATTTCTGAACCAGCTGCAATTTAACAACTTTTTCAGCAATTGAGAAAAAGTTCAGTTCTCCTTTGCCGCTACATTGTACTACTGTAATATTGTGACTATAGTGACTTCAGTCAAGTTTTATTCAGCTTATTAATATTTGAAAGTTATGAAACATTCATTTTCTCCCTGAAAGTATAGCCCCTACTCTCAAATGAAATCACAAATCAAGAGCCAAGAAATGCAGAATTCCAGTCCAGGCCCCAATTAGGAACACATTATCTTGCCTTTGAATTATCCAAGCTTGTCACTTCTATTTCTCATTTCTGCTGTTCCAGTTTTAACAGTCTCAGAAGTCTTTCTAGCACCAGCCCATTGGAAGGTAAGAAAACATGTACATACAAATCAAATCAGTTTTGTCTACTTGACCATAGTCGTAAAAATGGAGTTGAAGGCATGGTGGGTCAGAAACGTTGGCTAAAACGGGGGTGGGCAAGTCATCCAAGATCATGTGTATGTCATCCTTGGTCTCCATGTGTATTCTAAAAGCTCATGATAGTTCTAAGATCTCTCTGCAAAAATGGCCAATTAACACAGAACAATTTCCATCAGGGAACATCTCAAAGTCTTAACTATTAGAAGTCACCTTTCTTCTTCCTTTGATGCCATCTTTCCGAACTGTATCGCAGTCTACTTCATTATGAAGTGTCCCAGCGTTTTAGTAGACCCACATAAACTGTATTTGCCCTTAGGCAATGTCAGCTTTCAAAAAAGTAAGAATAAACTTACAAAAAAGAATCAACCTTCAAATCACTTTATGGTTTTTATTTTTATTTCTACTTAGCATTAATGGGATTTTAAATGTCACTATGGATTCATTTACTTCAACTTCCACCTATCGACTTAACCTCTTGACATTTGGAATCCACTGTTAAGACTAGATGTCAAATAAAAACTTAGAACATTTCAAAGGACTAAGTATTCTGAAAATGGTAGATTTAAAAGAAGTATTTGTCAATCCCACTTCTGGATATATAGCAACAAGAATTGACAGCAGGGTCTCAAAGAGGTATTTCCACACTCAAGTTCACAGCAGCATTATTCACAAGAGCCAGAAGTGGGAGGAATCCAAATGTCCACTGATGGATGAATAAACTAGATGTGATACAGACACACAATGAACGAGAAACCATGCAGCCATAAAAAAGGACATCCCCTCACATACTACAACATGGATGAGCCTGTGGGACAAAAGTGAAATAAACATTGCAAAAAGACAAATACTATGTGATTCCACTTACATGAGGTGCCTAAAATATCACAGATGGTATCATAACAGTAGAAAGCAGAGTGCTGTGGCTACCAGGGGCTGGAGGGAGGAGAAAAAGGGCAGTCATGTAATGGGTAGGTAGAGTTTAGTTCTGCAAGATGAGAAAATTCTGGAGATCTGTTTTACAACTTTGTAAATATTTTTAACACTGCTGAACTGTACACTTAAAAATGGCTAAGATGGTAACTTATGTGATGCTGTTTTTAAGCATATACACACAAAAACTATTTGCATCATTTTGGGTACAAATCCTTGATGGAAATACTGGACACAAGTGTCTATGGTGTGTATGTAACATTTGCCCTTTATATTGTAACTTCCTTTTAAACCACACACACAAGAAAATCTCTCACGAACTCAGCCTTTATTAAATATATCAAGTACTGAGCATCCTAAATTATAGCTTATTAGAGGAATGACCAAGGGTTCAGACAGAAAACAGACTATTCTGTTTCATATTTTATCTTTGTGATTATTTGGTTTATGTCCGCCTTCTCCATTAAGCAGACAGTGAGGTCCAGGGTCTGATTTTGCTCACCATTACATTTCCAGGGCCTAGCACAGTGCCTGGAAAATAGCATATAAATGTTTATTGGATGAGTCAGTATAGCATTAGACACTTGGAGATGTAGTACTACCCAAATTCAGGTGCAATAAGAGATATACCATAAAGGAGGCAGAATCAACTTTCAAAAAACTAATTTTAATCAAAACAAAAATTGTTGATCATTAACAAGTTTATAAAACAGTGATTTAGTTACATAAATAAATTGATATCAGTGTATCAAATCTTAATTACTTTCAACTTCATGAGCATGTTTACATGGGTGATGAAGTACAACCTTTTTTTTTTTCTTTTTACCTATTATAATAAATAAAATGGAGCGCATGAAATAGTTCTTCTAAACAAAAATACCTACAAACATACCTCTAAGCATGTTCTCTAATGAAGGGAACAAGAGACACTGGACAACTTTTGCACCAAAACATAAAAATTGCTTTAAAAAGCACAAGGTTACAGAACCATCAGCTAAAGTAAAGACACTATACTGTAACCAAAGTTGGTATTTAATAATATAATGAACAGTTTGGTAGTTAGATCTCCAGTTTGGTTATTTTAAAGCATTAAGACAAGGCAAGATAGAAGGCTGCTTTTGTTTGAGTAATTTCTAGAGAAAATAAAATATATTAAAAAAAAGAAAACTGAAAAGTAGAACAGTCATACCTACACAACTTTCTGTCCTGCACAAAGTCAAAATACCTATGCAGAATAGATATATAATATATATAATGTTATTTGTGCACAAAGGTTAGCTTATTATTAGCTCACTGCAAAGGCGTAATGTATCATTATGTCAATTGTTTTGGAAAACATTTTGCGTTTTGTGTCAAAAGGATATTTCTTTTAAGTTTCCTAAGCTAGGAGGCACGAACCCCAATTCCGGCATATTGTATATTCTTAATGCTAAGGCTTGCTGCTCTGGCTGTGTATTTTGTTGTCCCTCTTTATTCTAGTGCCTGTTACAAGCATGTGTGGTGTAGTGGTTGTTGGTGGTGTGTGTGTGTGTGTCTGTGTGTATACATATATATATGTATACATAAATTGTATAAATATATATACATATATAATTTCTCCCAATAGATCTCAGTCCAACCATGCAATCCAAAAGGTGGCTCTGCATAGATGCCCAGCATGAAGTTCACCACCTGAGCCAACCCTGAAGCAAGGCGTACTTTTAGTCCTTCTGATAGGTTTTCTCTCCGTTTTTTTTTTTTGTTTTTGTTTAAAACCAAGCTACTGCAGCTTCAAGTATTTTGCATTACATAGAATATTTTTTATAAATTAGTTAATGTTATATTTTCAATATTCAGACATATACTATAATATATATACAGTACAATAAATGCTCTCATTCTTTTTTTAATTTTTTTGGATAAATCCCTGAGAATGTATGTTGACAGTCGCTAAGTTTCCACATGCACAAGCATCGTGTGCCATGCTTCTGGACGAACAGCACTGCAAAGCCACATGGGTCAGCCTTTTTACTATTAGTATTTCGTTTTGTTGGTTTGTTTAAATATGCTGAAAATGTAAAGATGAGTTACAAAGGAGTAAAGCTGAATCCATTCGAGGTACTTATCACAGGATGGAGGTGTTTTGTTTGGTTTTTAAAGCCATTTCAATTATTTTTTTTGAGGCTGTGAACGTATACAGAAAACAGGAGAGCTATGTGGACTTTTGCCACTTGACAACATATACTCAGTGTAAACCAAACCTTTTTAACCTCTCTCTCATACAAAACCAGAAAAAAAAAAGAATTAAAAAAAATAATAAAATAAAGGAAGGAAAGAAATAGGGAAAAAATAAAAAACACACAAACTTTCACAACATGACAATTTAGTCTGCAAACGCAATATAACTATACACATATAATACCGGTGTGGCTCTGTTCTTTAAGTTAAAAAGGGTACAAAGGCAGGCTCAAGTAAAAACAAACCATCCCTCCCATCCCCACCCCCCACCCCATTCATACAAGATCTATCAACCAAACCTCTCCCGAACCAACATCATCAGTTTCTTTTTGCCTTTGTAGATTTGTTTCAGGTTGTCAATAAACTGTGTAAACTGAATGTGTCCATCATGCGCCATTAAGAAGGTCTCTCGGGCTTTGCTGAGGAACTCTATAAACTCACTATAGTGCCGAGGACTGATGTGTGTGAGCCGTGAGTGCGTTGTGTTGATGTAGGCCCCAATCGTGGCATCCAAGAGTTGCCTCAAGGGGGCTTTGTCCAGTGACATCAGCTTACCAGAGTTCCTCCTCCCATGTAGTCCCACCATGCCAGGAGTGGTCAGAGTGCATCTGCGCAAAATGTCTGACAGTACCGTTGCACACTTGACACTCTTGACCACCAGAGGTATTATAGCTGCAAGCTCGTTTTTACCAAGGGAGTGGCTAAGCGCACAGGCCCACAAAACGTCATTAATGGCAGGGTGTGTGTCCTGATTGTAGCTCAGGTTGAGATGGGTCATGGCCAGGGTGGCCAGCTTGTAGGCCCTCATGGGGTACCCGCGGTGCTCCATGTACCGTGCTATTGTAAAGAGCTGTGTATAGCTCATGCCGGTCGTAGCAGCGTCGAGAACAATTTGGTATGCCGTCTCGAAAGCTATGTGATCCTTTTCACAAAGGGTTAGCGCAGAGAGGGCACAGTTCTGTGGATCCTTCATGGCACACTGCAGTGCAAGTGTCCGGGCGCTGCTGGCCAGCTTTTCCTGCTGGTGGCAGTCCAGGTGGAGGCGGACGATGGTGCTGTTGGACATCACGGTAGTTGCAACTATACTTGTGGCCTCGGTGGGAGTAAAGAGTGTAAACCAGGTCTGCATGATGCTGTCCAGGGCATAAACCCCTGCAAGGAACACAAACAGGCTCTATTACTGACAAGGAGGCTGGCCAGAGGTCCTGCCTTACTTTGACTTTTATAACCAGTGTTTACATTGTTAGCCATCACAGGACATGAGCTAGACTAGAAAACTCTGTAAGGTAATATGCCTGGGAGAAACCTTTAAAAATAAGATCATTATGAATTGTTATTCAGTGAAATGCTGAAAGGAACATGAACTTGCTATAATAGAGAACCAATCCTCTTGGTAGCTGGTATTTGTACTGTGCTGCTTGCCATTTCAGACAATGGCTTTTTGCTAATGAGTTCTAGTTCACTGGGGCTTCCTGTCAGAATCTGAGGCTCAAAAATTGCAACCCTCACCAAAACAGGGACTTTACATGGCTTGTGTGCTTGTGTGTAAGGTAAAAGTACACATAATACAAAATTTTAAAACACACAAAGAAGCTGGAAAATGTGGCCCATAATCAAGAGAACAAAGTCAATAGAAGCAGACCTATAGATGAATTAAACGTTGTAAATGGCTGAGCATGTCTTTAAAATAATCACTTTACATTCACAGACCCAATATGCCTCACTTGTAGGAAAATCCTAAAAGTGAACGACTTGAAGAGAAGGTACCAGGTCTCAGAGAGAAATCAGGTTTATATCTCGGGGCAGGGGTAGAGAAGTTATGTGGCAGTTCTTAAATTAGTATTATGTTTGTATTGCTTCACTAAAGCATGACTTTAATAATGTAAAGATAATCTTTGTATTGAGACCAATGTCCCTTTTCCAAAATACAAAACCATTATACATTAGTGAAAGAAAAATAATAATTTTATAGTATATGCTGTGTCATATCTAAACACTTGGATGGTAGTGTTTTCTCAGCATGAAGTGTATATCCCTTTCTGATGCAAATAAGAAAAAAGAACGTTTAACCAATATTTATTTTAAATAGCAACCGCCGGGCGCGGTGGCTCATGCCTGTAATCCCAGCACTTTGGGAGGCTGAGGTGGGCGGATCACGAGGTCAGGAGATTAAGACCATCTTGGCTAACATGGTGAAACTCCATCTCTACGAAAAATACAAAAAATTATCCGGGCGTGCTGGCAGGCGTCTGTAGTCCCAGCTACTCGGGAGGCTGAGGCAGGAGAATGTCATGAACCCAGGAGATGGAGCTTGCAGTGAGCCGAGATTGTGCCACTGCACTTCAGCCTGGGCAACAGAGCGAGATTCCATCTCAAAAATAAATAAATAAGTAAATAAATAAATAAATAAATAAATAGCAACCATTTGTTTCTGTTGGTATTCTTGCTGGGAATGTACAGTTTTCTTCTGAACTGATCTACTGCTGTAGCGGGAAAATAGTTAGCTGAAGGGCCTCACAAAATGGCAGCTTATGGACAGCCAGGGAATCTTCTTATGGCTAGCTACAATTGCTCACACATCTGGAAGATCACCTAAACCACACCCAGTGGTCACCATTTCTCTGCTGGATACCATGAGGTATGCCTTCAGATGATAAAGAAGAAAAACAGTACAACTAGGTAACTTTATATATATTAACTGAATAAAAACAGTTTACTCACTGACTTATACCATTTTAAATAAGAGGCTGGAGCTTCACAAATGTGATCAGTTCAAAGTTGAATAATACAAGTATGTATAACTGAAGGTTAGGGGTAGGGGGTCGGGGAAAAGGGAGCCCTTGTAGACGGCTAGAGGAGCGTTGGAGAAGTCAAAGTAAAAGAGTGAATATGTTCACGTGTCTGTAACTGACAAGTTAAATCCTACCATGAGGCACCTGGGAAAGCTTCTGTTCCAGAGTTTACCTACCGACTTCAGTAGCACATGTTACCAGCCACCTCACCATCTCCCGCCGTCGCCAATTTAAGGTTGACAGTGTCATTCGCATAACCTATAAAAGCAGGATAACAAAATGTTTTGGAAAACTATCCTCAGTCAATGAAAAAAAAGGGTATAAACTATAAGGCATATAAGGCATACCTACTGTCTACCACCAGGAAGATGAAAGTATAATTTAGAGCAAAGCTCTACATATGAATTTGGATTTGTCCATGGCTACCCCAAGTGGCCTTGCCACAGCCACATTCTCCTCCTGGCAAGAGGCCCACATTCTCCTCCTGGTGGGCCCACTGACCAGATTTGGTATCTGAACCAGTTACTCTATCCCTCATCTGCAAAATCAGAGGGCTGGACTGGAGCATTAAACATAGCCCATGCCCTTTTTCCCTCCCCATATTTAACATTCCATAGTTCAATTTCTGAGGCTCCTGTGAATCCATTCTAACCAGGAACTCTCAGTGGTGAAAGATGTATTTTAGAATAATCATTTTAGTTATTCCTTCAATCTCTGGTTGCTCCTTTCTGGTGACCATGAAGGTAACTCCAGGTTTATGGGGGAAAAAATCATCCTTGATATCATTAGTGATCTGATTTTGTTTTTCACTTTCTAATAAGAAGTCCTTAAATACACATATCCACCTCTTTGTACTTCCTCCATTCTTTAAGATTCAAAATATCCAGGGATGGCCGGGTGCGGTGGCTCACGCCTATAATCCCAGCAATTTGGGAGGCCACAGTGGGCAGATCACAAGGTCAGGAGTTCGAGACCAGCCTGGCCAATATGATGAAACCCCGTCTCTACTAAAAATGCAAAAATTAGCCAGGTGTGGTGGTGCGTGCCTGTAGTCCCAGCTACTCAGGAGGCTGAGGTAGAAGAATTGCTTGAACCCAGGAGGCAGAGGTTGCAGTGAGCTGAGATTGCACCCCTACACTCCAGCCTGGTGACAGAGTGAGACTCCATCAAAAAAAAAAACACAAAAAAACAAAAACCACACACGCACACAAATATCCAGGGACATAATATCCCCAAAGGCCCTCTTGGATTCCTTCCTAGGTTCCAGAAATACTCACAAAGGGCCTGTGAGATTCCTTCTTAGGTTCTGGAAAGCGTGAGGCAAGGAATAAGCTCTCATGCACATCCTATTTACCAAGAATTCCAAATAACGAGAAAGCTCATGCTAATGGTTCTTTCTGCATCACATCTTTAAGATGAGGCAAATGGTGACAAAAATTAGCCAAATAACAAGAATTAAAAAAACAAAACAAAACTGCCGAACCATCACTGTATAGCTTAAAAGCAATCTTCTATACCTTTTGCTTGTACAGTACTCTATGTTACAGTGGTAGGTACATTTTCCTGTGATCCTATTATTTAGACATTATTAGTAAGGGAGAATCCACAACTAAAAAACCAGATTAATTATCCAATCAGGGGATTATACTCCCCATACTTTAGGTAACTGAGGTATAACAATTTTGTTCACTGCTTTTTAATGGGAAGAAAGCAAATGTTAATAGAGATTCCATGAGAAAAATAGAAACAAATTTTTAGTTCCTGGTTTACACAGTGATCTGTTCAGAAACTATAAGGAAGCAAACATCTATCTGCTTGACCAACTCAAAACGTTCTTGGTACTCTGTTCTGCTGAAATCTAAACTGGACTCTGGCCCGATCACTCCTCCTTTACCTATTTTTCTCAGAGTTATTAAAAGGAGCTAGAACTGCCCACCTATTATGAAAATGCAAACATCAATAAAAATTTTTACTTCCTCTAAAAATTTAGCCCTAACAACTGAATCTTCATTATACATGCTAGCTTTACTTAAGTCTCTTGTTAGCAATAATTCTTCTCCTTTCATTCAAAGGAGAAACAGTATCGTTAAGGCTGCAATTCAGAAAATGATTTTCTTAATTGAAAGACACAAATTAGGCTTCTAAATGTACAGTCCCTGAACCTTACATAGCAGTCTGGTTCAGCTGGGAGTGACCACGTCTCTGAAATACAGTTCTCTCCTGAAGTCTAACAGATCTGTACTCCAAAGAGTCATTTACCTGCACTCAAAAATCCAATCAAACAAAAACAACCCTAAGAGGTGCCTTTATTTAGCAGTCTTTGATGTCCCGGGAAAGACTACCAGTCATGTACCTGCAGGCCCAGCTCCAGAGACACTTTCAAAAGAGTGATGTCTGGCAAACTGTCCATGAGAGTTGCTATTTTAAATGCATCTTGGGCAAGCTTGAAGATGTGTGATGAGGAGTGAATGTTTTTCTGGATGGATTCTAATACTGTTTCCAGCCTCCGAACATCGCCTGCAATGAACAAGGGAAAACCAAACCAAACCAAATCAAAGCAAAGCAAGACAAACAAACAAACAAACAAAAACCATACAACCATACACACACACAAAGGGGGAAAAAAGAAACAAAACAAAACATAAAGCACAAGTTATTTACCTAACATGTTCCCAGATGGCACACAACTAGGGCTCCCATAATTACTGCAATGTCTGTGAATCTCGGCTCCACAGAAAAAGATACACCGAGACACGCCCTCAATGACTCAAAGCACAGATGAACCAGAACCAACGTGAGACAGCAAACAGCTCTCCTAGTTCCTTCTTATGTATTTTTGGTGAATATTTCAGGAAGAAAAAAATGTAACCCAACTTTTAAATCTGCTTCTGAATTTCAACCATTTATATTTTCTTGGCATGGTAACTAACCTGAGCTCTGCCGGCAGCAAGTTAATGATGCAGGTAAATGAGGAAAATGCCACCTGTTTTGCCTTAAAAGCTAACATCTAAAGAAAAAGATCCCTTCAACCTATCTGACATTAACACCACTACTGACAATTTCATAGAAAACAAGACTTAAAAAAAAATAAACAGGCAAACGAATGAAACAATTATGAGGCCTCAGGACAGTACAGTACCTTTGGCTGCAGTTAGCATGGTGGATGCCAGCTCACACTGCTGGGACTCAATGTGGCTTAGAGTGAACCAGCGAGGGTAGCGGTTGGGAACAACTGATGCAATGTGGTGTGGGCGGGTGAGGTCTCCTGATGGAGCAGTAGATTCCAATACTAGTAACCTATAATGAGAAGACAAGGAAGGTGGCCCCTAGTTATTTCTTGTCCATTTCCTTGGCCAGAAAGACTGGTCAGCAGAAGCCAGAGGAGTGGGTAGATGGTCAGGCCTCTAGTTCAGGAAGGGCTGGTACAGCTATACTCTGCTGTGTGGATGCAAAATATCTAGATTTTTTGGACTATTAATTGTTTGCTATTAATAACTATTCAACACCCAAACCTTATTAATTGTTCATCACCCAAACCTAAGAGATTTTCTTTCTTCATCACCACTCAGAAAATTACAATATTCAAAGAAATTAAGATATGCAAACACTGAAGAACTTTTAAACACAGGTCTTGATGTTTACCTACAAATTTTGAATTGTATGACTCAAAAAATAAATCAACAGAAACTGTTAGTGAAATGGATATTTAAGACTGAGATCACAGTCAGGGAGCAGTGAATACTTAAGATGAATAAGCTTAACCTATTTAAACATAAAACAAGAAGGGGAGTAAAACGAAAATTACCTCCTTTCCATCCATTCATACTTTCTGCACAATTAGTTTCTTATGACTCCAGATATCTGACATTAGACTATGTTCTACCAACCATATTAGAGAAGATAAATGCCACCTAAGTGTCTGTCCCTTGACAGTTGTGCATAAATTCAGAGTGATTTCTGATTTTTTGTTAAGAATATACTGTCATGACGAAACCCTGTTTCTATAAAAAATAAATTAGTTGGGTATGGTGGCATGCGCCTGTAATCCCAGCTACTTGGGAGGCTGAGATGGGAGGATCAACAGCCTGGGAGCCACGATTACACCACTGCACTCTCGCCTGGGAAACAGAAAAAAACTCTGTCTCAAAACAAATTAAAAAAATATGCTGATGAAAAAATTTCTAACAACAAAGCACATATTTAGTAATCTCTTCTAAAAGTCCCAAAAAGATTAGTAGAGTACCTAAAACTGAAATAATTTATTTACAACCATCAAAATGCTGGCCTTCATTCAAGTACACCAGTGTTAAGAACTATGAAATAAGATAAGAGCTGGAGACCAAGGAGAGTCAGCTGGGTCTGGGAGTGATGCTGGCCTCAGGGCCCCACCCAAGAGCAATTATTGTCTGGTAAGCCAAATGGCTCATTCTCTTCTCCTTTTATCTAGGAACAAAAAGATGTTAGTGGTAGAGAAGGTGGCAAGGTAGGCAGTTAAGTAGTAAGAATATTGGCAGGGTTGCTATTTAGCTTTTGTATAAAACTCAGGAATATCCTCGTATTCACAGGCAGGTCTTGCCAGACTTACTGTAGGAGAAACTAATCAACATCCCTGGGAAGATGAGAAAATGAGAGCCGAAGATGACCTTCCTCGGCCTTCCCCTTCCAGAAGGACTAAGAAGCAAGCGAGCTACATCTCTCTTTTCCTTCCTGTTCCCCGGACCGCCTTGCAATACCTGGTGGGGTACACTACCTGCCTTCCATGGCAGACCTTTGGCAGGATAGTAGTGGCAGATAGAAGAGAGAAACTGGAAAAAAATTCCCCTGTACCCTGCTAGTATTCCCCATGAAGAAACTGCCTTGGCAGCAACCAAGGACAAATATAAATGAGTTTGTGAGTGTTAGAAAAGCAAGCCTTTCTGCCTGGCACATACCATTACATAAGCCAGAACCACACAGAAACTTCATGCTATTTTACCCTTAAACTTTGCCAGGGGTAGTAGCAACAGCATCTGGTGGCATCATAACATTAACATCTTCCCTTTAAAACAAGATTAGAATTCCTAAGATTTGAGTAAGTATAGAGCTGAGCATATGTCTTCATAAGACAGCTTCCATTTCAGCTTCCAAAATGAAAATAGGAACTCACTTATTATAAAATCATGCTCTAAAACATAAACCAAGTGGTATAATGTAATTTGGTGGGGGACTTTTGCTGATGTTTGTTATTGACTTATTTTTTGGTATTTTAAAAATAGAAAAAAGAATACTTAGGCAGATTCTCTAGTAAGTTAGTAAGATTCCATATTGCCAAGGAAAGCATGTCAAATTACAGGATGTCAGCCTTAAAACACACTGACACATAGGTATACACAGAGACACATACACACATCCTTATCACTGCATAAAAAAAGAGGCGTCCTGATAGACATAAGCTACACTCAATACTTTCAGAACAGAGTGACTTTGGGGACACTGGTAATTTATAGGTAAGGGTTTGTTTTAGAATCTACTTCACTGATTACAGACATAGAATCTTTGATGAAAAGCTTCTTGAGATCAAACTATTAATCAGCACACACAAGCTTTTAGGTCTATAACATGGCTTGTCCTTAGGTGATTATAAGGATGTCTAATCTGCACTTTCCATTAGAAGCATAGGAGTGTTTTATTAATTTTTTTAAAGGAAAAAGAAAATGTTGATGTTTTAAGAAAGATGGATGTTCCTTTTAGGTCCTTAAAATTTAAAGGTCATATGTATGATTAAAATATAATCTTGAACTCATTAAAATATTCACCTTGAACAAATCTGTGATAAAAATAATTATTAGGTGAAATAACTTTTAAAAGAATGTAGAAATAAAAAGGTGGGTGGTAGAGAACAACATATTCCAATTGTTATTGCTGAAAAGGAGGGACAGATGAGGAGATGGAAGCGGTCAGAAGAGAGGCAGGCAGAGCCTCGAGGACCCCGAATAGTGACTCCTTCACTGCTAAATGCACGTCCCACCTTCTCTCAGCCCCCGTGATTACAGATGTGCCTTGGTAATACAGGGAGTTGCTTTCCTGCACTACTGATGGAATGTGGAATTACAGCAGGTGTGAAGATCTCCTTCAATTATATTCAATCAAGTATATTTATTATTTACAACTGTTTCAAAAATCAGTTTTTTTCAAAACAATTAATTATTTATGAAGGTTTCAACTGTTGCTGTTTTGTGATTAAACTTGGCCTGAATTGTGCTTCAAGAAAAAGTAGGAAAAAGCCACAGTGTCCTTGAGTCTGATAGCAGCAAGGATAATTCTTCTCTTACTTTATACAGAAGCAAAATAAGTCAACAAGCAAATCACCTCGACAACAATCCAGAAAGCATAAATAGTTTCTTTAGCTTTTCTGCTGTCTATAAGAAACATGAAGGAGTAAGTCAGTTAACAGCCATGCTTCCCAGTGGGAATGTGGCCTGCCTCTGCCCAGCTGGGCTGTGAATACGTACCGCATTGCTCTCAGTGCAATTTTGTATGCCAGTTCAGCATCGTGAGGTAGGAGAGAGGTGAAGAGATACTTGGCAAATGTGTGCATTGGAACGCTCTCCCGATGGATTATTTCGCCTAAACCACTATATGGTCCGGCTGTGGGAAGAGAGCATACACATTTTACATTCCTAAAAAATGAACTAACACTTCTTGTAAAGCATATTTTTAAAATGTCACATAAAGTTACAACATATACAAACTAATCTAGTTAAGAATTTCATGTAAATGGCATAGAAAGGAATACAATTCTTAATCAAAAAAGATTCTTCAGGGTATAGTATCCCTTACAGATTTCACCTCATAAACAAACCCCTAACTGTCCCACAGCTAAATGAAAAACCCAGAACTCAAGGGGCACAGAGCATTCACAATACAAGTGCCTCAGAGAAAGGAACCCTCTATACCATAAAACCTCGCTGCATTTGAGCAACATCCTCTCTCAATGTGTGGCATCGGAGCATCTTGATTTGCAAATGCACAGATGACGCCACAGCCTAACTACGGAACCTACCCCTGGACCCAAGAAGGGTTATGGGCACAAATATGCCACGTTTCCAGAAAATGGTGCTCTGTTCAGGGGTGAGAGGTGTCGGAAGATTCTGAACCACAACTCTCTAACTATACACATTGTTGCCTCTAATGAGTAGTAACAGATATTAATTCCTAGAAAGTGATTGTTAATAAAAAGAATAGTTACCCATTTGATAAATGCTCTAGGCACAAGAAAAAAAATAAAGTAACTGGAAATCTACTATTCTTTAGGCTCCCGAAAGCCAATTTTAAAAGCAAAATTACACTTCAGCTGTCAAAGTTCATTTCTTAGTAAATTCTGACAGGCATGGTGGCAGAGCTGACTTCCCCTGTGTGGTCTTTGAATGCTGCTTTGAGAAGGGCAACACAGACTTTTAAAATAAATTCTGAAAGGAAACCACAGTGGTTAGTTCAACCACTTTGCACTAAGGTACTCTGAGGTTTAGTTACTGTAAAGTGTTTAATAAATTAGTTTCCATGTCACCTTCGGGTAACATCTGTTTCATGATTTCTAGAATTATGAACCATGACACCACTGCTCAGAGGACATGCTATATTTGTTTTCCATGAGAAAAATCAGTGTGGTGAAGAGTTTAGAATGCAAGAAATGCACTTCAGAAGAAAAAAATGGTAAAAGCAGTTCCTGAACTGGTGTTTGGTTATGAGCACATTATATTCCAGATCATTTTAATGGAGGTTATTTTTTAATTCAGTTCAGTTTTTTGTATTTTTGAATTATTCATTATTTAAGTACTTTAAAAATCATACAAATGTTTTCACCTAAACTAACATCTAATCTAAATCTCTAATTTTTCCAAATCCATTAATTTTTAATTTTAAATGTTTTAGTGATTTGATATTCTTCAAAAGTTCATATAGCATTATGATTGCACCTTTTGTTCACACAGCAAGGCTACATTATTTAAGTTATTAACTGTTACAGACTAAATATATATGTCTTCCCAAAATTCACATGTGGAAGCCCCCAGCCCCAGTGTAATTGCATCTGGAATTGGGGCCTGCATTACAGTAAAATGAGGTCATAAGGGGGGGACCCTGATCCAACAGGATTAGTGTCCTTGTAAGAAGAGACACTGGAGAGCTTGATCTCTCCGTGACGTGAAGACACAGAGAAAAGATAGCTGTCTTCAAGCTAGGAAGAGTGTCCTCATCGGAAGCCAAAGATGAGGCTGGCAGCATGATCTTAAACTTCCCAGCCTTCAGAACTGTGAGAAATACATTTCTGTTATTTAAGCCACACAATCTGTGGTATTTTATCATGGCAGCCCAATCTAAGACACTAACTCTATTTTACTTAAGGACTAATTATAGCAAATCTATAGATTAGCCATAGTCTTCATTTCTCCTCCATTTTCTTTCACTGTTTCCCTTTAAACCACCAAGTTACCTTTTTGTAACTATTCAGGAGATTCAGGATATATAATTAATTTTTTGCTATGATACCACCCAACAAGTAAAACATTTAGTCAGGTATCCAATAATTATTTGTGTATTATTAGTGTAATTCCTGGACTCCAGTGTACTACTGAATAATGACAACTTGACATTTGGCACCAAGTTTCCCCAGAGGTGCTTGTTCAATATGCTAATTTATCTATCCAATATTGTGGCCAGGAGAGATGAATACTAGTAACAATACTGGGTTACTGCTTCCTCTTTCCAGATATCTGGGCCTGCTAACTAATTTGCCTCTGACATTTGCAAAGAGTATAACTGCATGAAGAACTTGGTGCCCTCGTGTAGTCAATTCAGTCATGGAGTTCTCAATCTTCTAGCATTTACAGTAATGGCCCTGTGGCTTCCCCGCCTTGGACTGCCTCCTGTCCTGCACCTATTCACTCTTTGTGGGCCTTGCAGGGCCAGGAAAGGAGAAGAGGCAGAGACGAGTCAACAGTGCTCCTTCTCAGGCACAGTACTCATAAAAATGTTTGACAGGCGGGATGGACTAATCAAGACTAGGGTAAAGTTCAAAAATATTCATGAAAAATGAACATAGAGACACATTTAGGAAGGTAAATATAAACACCATACACTATCAACTTTGAAAATCACAGATCTTCCTTCTAAACTTCAGTAAAAGGGAAATCAAAAGTTAGTCAGTATAGCCTGTGACAGGCAGCATTTAAAAAATGTTTGTGACTAATGACATTGCTTATAGCAAAAGGAATTATATGGGAGAAAACTGAAAGAAAACAGTAAATTGAGGAATCAGGATCACTCTTTTTTTTTTTTTTTTTTTTTTGAGACCGAGTCTTGCTCTGTCGCCCGGGCTGGAGTGCAGTGGCCGGATCTCAGCTCACTGCAAGCTCCGCCTCCCAGGTTTACGCCATTCTCCTGCCTCAGCCTCCCGTGTAGCTGGGACTACAGGCGACAGCCACCTTGCCCAGCTAGTCTTTTTTGTATTTTTTAGTAGAGACGGGGTTTCACCGTGTTAGCCAGGATGGTCTCGATCTCCTGACCTCGTGATCCGCCCGTCTCAGCCTCCCAAAGTGCTGGGATTACAGGCTTGAGCCACCGCGCCCGGCCCAGGATCACTCTTGAAATTTGTCAGGATGGGCTTTTTATCTTTACAGGGAAAAAAACAGGTTCACGAGAGTGCTTCAAAAAATTGCTATTAGGAATTTTTACCAAAATTAAGCACGCTATTAAGAAGGTTTACCTGAAGAGCATTTTCCCTTTAAAATGTATTTCTAAAACATATAAAAGTATAATATGTTTGAAGAAAATGTTTTCTTTTAAGTAGATCTTTTGCTTTGGACAAATAAAAGGTGTGCTGAAAATCTAAATCCTTCCCTGTATGTAGTAGTTCTGAACAGAAGATGACTATAACATACTTTATGAGCCTATCAATCACAGAGAATCCCATTACACACTAATAACACACATGTACTTGAGAGACAGAAGCAATAGACACTGCCTAAATTTGCACAAAAGATTACACTACCACACTAATTACACTTATCTTTTTAGAGGGAAAAAAAATCTGAAAAATAGTGTCAGCCAAAATTTGTTAGGCCCTTTAAAATTTAACCTTATGAGAAGAAGGAAATTAGACCATGCCTCAGAGATTCTATGAAACTTTTTCCTTGATGAATCTGTGCCTAATGAATCCTCTGGAATAACTAGTTGGTGCGGTAGAAATTCACTCCCGCAGCCTTCAGTCCTTTGTTAGCATGTGCATGACATATTCAAAACCCAGGTGTCATGTAACTGCCAATAATTTGGAGGAAGGCCAGCCAATTACTATTTTATTATTTAATTGATCAAGGAAACAGGAACATGGCTGCCAATAATAACGCCCTAAATATCAAAATTGAATTTATCTCAGGAACAACACAGTCTAAATGAAATCGGTCCTTTTCCAGGTTTGAGGCATTAAATGTGGCTATTTTGTAATAGGCTATCATATATAATCACCTAAATCAAATGATACAAATCTAAACATCCATGCTTTTTTATTCAGTGACACTATTTTTTAGACAGCGAACATGTCTTCGACACCCCATGACCATAGCAATCAGGATAACAACCATATTAAATGCATTCAGATAGTACTCTTAACATAAGAAAGATTAGCCCCTAAGTCAACTTGGCTAAATAAGTGGAAAACTTCTGTATCAGACTACCTTCTAATAGGAAGACTGCTTGCTTGCGAAAAATTTTCACCAGTGTGTCATCCAATTCAATTTCCTGAAGCTTAGAAATGAGCTGCTCCTCATTCCGGCAAACTTTCTCTTGTGTGTACAGCCCATCAGGCATGATACGCTGCTGTCCCAGCCCTATCAGGGCTACTTCCACAGCCAGCGTTAAATAGGATTCCCCTTCTTCTAAGAATTTGTGTGCAGGTAGATGCTGGTATTCCAGAGACTTGCACTGTCCCATATTCTCTGCAAAATGCCACAAAAGAAATCAGAGTTCAGAAACTACTTTTGCAGATGATACAATAAGTACAAATATTTATACTTCCCAGTACTAGCAAATGAATTATTGACTAATGCTGAGAAAGCCAGAAAGCATGTTTTTTAGGCTAAAGTGCAGTCTTCCAGTATCTTTTTAAAAATGACCATGAATGATTAAATGTTTATATTTTGGGTGATATAACATTACAAATACTTTTCTGCCTTGAAAATAAATCACCAAAGAAAACTATAAATCTAAGAAAATATGAACTAAGAATACTTGAGAAAAACAAAATTTAATTACACAATAGTAAAATTACACGATGACTTGCACTCACCACTTTTTAAATCCTGGCATTCAAAAAGTGTCCATAATAAAAACAGTGGGGAACACAACATATGTAACCCAATTTCAAGGTCCTTTTTATTATCCAAGAGTCATCAGTTATCACACAAAAAATGATTCTTTGAACATTCTCTTGTCTCCATTAAAGTGCTTCTATTATAAATTATAACAAACTTCAACCATCAGACTCTTAAGGAAAGCGAATTCAGACTCATGCCTTTCACCCTCCTGACAGTGTTTGGGTTACCCACAGTCCATGAAGGCAACTATCACGGGGGAAATTATGAAGGGGCAAGACCTGAGCTCACCTAGCCATGGAAGCAACAAAGAGACATCCTTACTCCCTGCCTTACCTCCACCCACTGCCCTCGGGCAGTCTTTTGAGGCAAGAGTATTAAGTTTCAATGGGCCAAAGTGAAATCTCAAAACACAGCTTTCAAGGAATGTGTGATATAAAACAGTTTTAAACGACATTTAATACTCCCCCTTAAAGTAGACTACAATATTTAAGTGACAAGTCACTTTCAAAGCAAAGACAAATTTGAAAAGCACCTAAACTAGATGTTCTAGTTCTAAATGCTAAGATGTACATCTTTATTTTATACCTTTATGCTAGGAAGTAGTCATAAATGTGGATAAATTCTTAGATGCAGAATCACTGGTGAGAAGAGAATAAATATTTTTCAGATCCTCGACACATGCTGCCAACTATCAACTCTAAGGATTTTTTCCCAGTTTTGTAGCAGCCTGCGAAAGCATGAGAGTACCCATTTTCTTGCTCTCTTGCTAACGAAAGGCACTGTTCACTATATGATTCCATAAAACATAATGTAAAGAAAAACAATGACTACTGCCATTCAGGGTTTAGAAAAAGAAAAGCACATGAGACAAATGTCAATGGCTTTACCTGTAAAATCTGAGAACCCAGAGAGGTTCTCATCATCAATGCGGCAGGCTTCCATAAGGCTACTGAAGAGAGTGCCCACAGGGTCCAGGGGATGTCCAACCCAGCCCTCCAGATTGGTTATCGAGGTTATGCTTTTATGGGGTAGCTCTGTGTAAGAAAAGGGAATTGAGAGATGGGGGAGTAGAAGGGAGATGAAGGGAAAGAAGTGGGGAGAACAGAGGCTTTACCATTTAAAAGCAGCATCCCGATAAATCAGTTCTGAATTCTGTTGGAAATTCCCCTTTAATTAAGACACCAATCAAAGGGTACCATAATCCCCAACTTGTCAACTATTTTGAGTTCTAAACGTTCATCTGTAAGTCAATATAAATGGTACTGAATTCCCAGGACAGCTCCCAAACATCTATTTAATTCATGTGTCTAGGTTACCAAGTTAACATTATTACTTACACTATTAAATTATGTTGTATAGGGAAAAATGAATTTCAAATTTTCTTGTGAGAAGTTAGGAACAACTCCCCCACTTCCCTAGGAGGGGGCATTAGAGAGGACTAAGAAGTCCCATTGGAATTATCAATTGGTAACTCCACCACGACATGCTGAAGAGACCTCTCTAAATCAGTGTTAACTGGGTCATATAAATTGAGGACTTGAAGGCAGCTGTAGCTTGGGTTAGACTTGTATTCCCACATGAATATCCTTAAATTACCCCCTATCACCCTATGAAAGTCTTCCCTAGTGTGAATCTGTAAGCCATTTAAGAGACAACCTTTGCCATAAAGGGGAATGATAACAGACGATTATATATAATTTGAATGAAATAAATCCTTTTCATTTTCTTCACAGAATATTAACACTTTCAAGTTAAACTGTAGAATGCTGAGGAAGAAAAAGCTATGTTTAAGATATATTCCATTGTTGTAAATAATGCAATATTTTACATCTAAGTGTTTACTAAAGTAATAAATAATAGTAGCTCATTCTTTTCTCATTTTTGAGATGGAGTTTCACTCTTGTTGCCCTGTCTAGAGTGCAATGGCGCGATCTCGGCTCACTGCAACCTCTGCCTCCTGGGTTCAAGAGATTTTCCTGCCTCAGCCCCGAGTAGCTGGGATTTACAGGCAAGGGCCATCATGCCCGGCTAATTTTAGCAGCTCCTTCTTAAAAGAAAACATAATAAAATTTACATACAATATAAAATGTACAAGAAAAATATTGCCGTGTAAATATCTGAAGAGTCATTCCATGAATCCAACATTCCTTCACAAGTCTTCTGGTTTTAAGCAATCAACCATCAGTACATAAAAATGAAAAACAGGCTGACGTGGTGGCTCACGCCTGTAATCCCAGCACTCTGGGAGGCTGAGGCGGGCGGATCACCTGAGGTCAAAAGTTCGTGACCAGCCTGGCCAAAATGGTGACACTCTGTCTCTACTAAAAATATAAAAATTAGCTGGCCGTGGGGGCGGGTGCCTGTAACCCCAGCTACTCAGGAGGCTGAGGCAGGAGAATCGCTTGAACCCAGGAGGCGGAGGCTGCAGTAAGCCATGACTGTGCCACTGCACTCCAGCCTGGGGGACAGGGCGAGACTCCATCTCAAAAAAAAAAAAAAAAAAAGAGGAAGAACGGCTTGGCACAATGTATTGAAATTTAAGTTGATGCCTAGATGCCTTGAAAAGGTCCTTCTCTTCAGTTTCTGTTGCTGGCTTTCATAAACATAATTAGTAGGAAAAAAGGAACATGAGTACTACTCCTGGAAACAATCAAATAAATATGCTTGCTTAAATATATATATATTTTGCTAATCAAATAAATATGTTTGCTTAAAAATATATATATGGATAGGGCTAAGGGAAATGCTGGGCTTATATAAATAAATATATTGTCAAGTGATGGAAACTGAGGAAATATGAGGAATCAAAAATAAATCAAATCTTTTTTTTTCAGAATCAATAAGCTAACATATCATGCCAAACAGTTTTGGAAATGTATAAAATATTCCATTTACTAAACTTGGCCCATAACAAGTAACTGTTATGGTACTTTAGACTTGTAACAGCTATGAAAAGCCTATTTTTTAAATATGGAAAAACAATTACCAAAAATAAAAGTTGGGAAAGACACAGGTATAGATATGTAATCTTAGTAATACTCAAGAATGGTTGGGAATAAAAGTTTTCATAGCTTGCAAGGTAAAAGAGAAATGGGTCTAAGAATGGCCTAGACCTAAAGGTTACAGAATTCTCTCAAAGACAATCGAAGGAGTCTAAGTTAACATACTTTGTAACTTACCCAAATGTAAGTTTAGGAACATTAGTTCGGATTTAACACTTTTATACTTTCCTATTTTATTACATTTTAAACAAATTTTTAAAATCAACACTTATTCATAAAATGTATAATATGATTTTTTTTAAAAATCAGATGATCATCATGAACTGGCTTTCTTTTTGCACAGTATAACAAGTGCTGCACTCTTTGTTTGAATATTATCTTTTATACTATTCAGAAATAAATTCCTTTCACCATAGGCTGTGTATGTGTTGGAGGAAGAAGGATTACAGAAAAATTTTCCAAAGTACCTAGCAATGTATTTTGCACACACCAGTGATGATATGAAGAACATGATGAACTGGACAAAGTCATGACTATTGGAGCTCTCACATTCTAATCCCATCTGAGCTTCCCCTTTCTTTGGTTCAAATGTAACTTTTGACTTTTTTTCACTGTAGGGTGATGGTGTTAATTTACATTCATAATACTTTCAATATAGAGTGTGTTAAAGTGCAAGTGTCTGTTAAAAGTTACAACAGATACTTGCTCCAACCTCTAGCCTTTTAATAATTTTTAGTCGTACTCTAGTATGTGTATAATCACCCAAGCATTAAAAACAAAATTATAACCAAAACAACAACAAAACAAAAACCCAGCAACTAAAACTATGCCTCTTAATGAAAAATAAAATCACAGAGTGAAAACAAACCTGCTAAAGATTCATAAAAGTAAAATTTATACCTATGGAAGGAATAAGATGTGCATGGATTAATCAGAAAAAGCATATACATTTATTTATCTGATCAGGGTCTTATGCATGTAATTCAATCCTTCGCAATTATTATTACTCAGTAATGATTACTCAAAATTTCAAAGATTAATAAACTGAGACTAAAGAGAAGTTAAATGAGTTCTTTCAGCTGACAGCTCATCAAATGTCATTTACAGAACTTGAAAAATCCAGTTCTGTTCTGGTCACTTTAAGTAAATATAATAACATGTCCTGATGTACAAATTATTACAGCTAAAAAGTTTTAGAATGCTTACACATTGTGCCAAGCTTTGTTTTAAGTGCTTTACAGAAATTAACTTGGTTTAATCTTCTCAACAACTCTAAGAGATAGGCCCTCTAACTGAGCCTCATTCCACAGAAGAGAATTCAAAATCTCAGAGACATCAACTGATTGCCTAAGACACACACTTGGGACATTAGGATTGCTGGGATTCAGGCATAGACTGTGTCCTTACTGTAAGAATTAAAATGCACTTCCACAAAATAAGGTATTTAGCTAACATGCATTTTAAATAATTTAGACATACTAGTTACTAAAACGATAAAGAAAATTCTCCCCCTTAAAAAATTAACCTGAGAGATTCTTTAAAACAATCTTTGCTTACAACATTCAACCAAGAAAAAAAATGCCCCAAATTTCTCACAGATCAGCCATTATATATTTTTAAATGAATGGTGAGTAAAGCCATCATCTATGGTTCTAGTTCTAAAAGCCATCTCTCCCAGAACACAAAACCTAGTAATGTCATCACCAAGAATCCCATTCTAATGGAAACAAACTCCTTCACATTCACCTTTTTTTTGGGTTCGGAACATTTCCAACTGTTTCTGCTGCTGTCGTCTTAACGTATTAACAATAGCTATTGCTAGTCTCAGTGCTTCTCTGGGGTACCCATGAGAACGTAATGCGTCCACTCTTGCACAGGCTGTAGGAACATGTTCTAAAACAGAAAGTCAAGGGGGTAAAGTTGCCACTGTCAGATATATCCATAAAAAAAGAATTTAATAGTAAGATGTTTCTCCCAAAATACTATTAAAAAGACACAAGAAACCATTTCTGAACTTGGATTTGAATGAAAAACTCAGCTCCTATTGCCAAGCATTCATCCATCTCCCATTGAATCCTTCAATTCTCCACCTCCCACTCCAGTAATGCTATAGAAACTAAACAAAGAAGTAAGTCATGGAAATGTCTTTCCGGTTTGGTCACTTACCATGCCAGAGGGGCCACCCGCGGGAGTCGAAGAGGGAGTTTTCAGTGTCGTCATGGTAACAGTAGTTGGTGTATAGGTCACTGTTGATAATGTGCTGCAAGTGGCTATCCTGCCAGTGGAGATCACATGCCTCGATGGCTCGGGTGAACACTGTCCGATGTGGCCTGTTCGATGAATCTGTTTTTTCCACAATTCAGAAAGCCGTGTCAGCTATTATTCACATGTGAATAAATCAGTCATACCATTCTGTGGCCAGATGTTCATGAACACACCCACACACATTGTCCTGCACCCCCTAAGCAGAAGGGTGAAGGGTGAATACTCTCACATCCTAAGTACTAAGAGGCAGGTCAGCCCAAGAGCCACCATTCACTCACTTGTTTATCAAACACAAACATTCTGCAGCCATTAAAGCTAAGGTTAAAGGCGTCCTGCAAAAAGAATTGTCAAGTCTAGTTTCCATGCCAAATACACTCAAAGGAGGCACTCGGCACAAAAATCACATGAAAACTCACTGCTCCCCACTTCTGAGGTGCTGTGGTGGGCTGCCCTGATGGGATCAACAGCTCTCACAAACACTATGCAAGAGATGCGACACCAGCCATGGAACCTTTCAGGATTATGCAGTCAGCCTTTAAAGATATGCATAAGGGTTGTGCTTTTGGTTGTATTTTTTAACTATATTGTGCGGTTTTGCACAATTAAAACTATTATGCTTCTTGGGATATAATGCTTAAATACCACTTTATATCCCAAAGGGCATAAATGCATATATTTAACATTTCACAAAGCCACACAACATAGCTACAAAACAAACCAGCGCACTTACCTTGCCCCTACAGGCTGCCTCCTGACTCCTGGGCAGGTTCCATGACTGGTGTGATGTCCCCAGCATAGTGTATGCCGGGGCATCACAAAAGAGCAGAGCCATACACTCCGAAGAGGGTTCAAGTTTCAGGACCTGACGGAGAAAAGAAATGTTTGGGGAATAAAGGATATTCTCACCCCAACTCCTGGGATTATTCAATTCCTAAGGATCATATGGTTCAAATTCTACCTGCACACCCACCCCTTGGCTTTCCACTCTAAACTTACCTTCAACTGTGGCACAAACTTTAGCAATCCTCAGCTGGAAATCAGGTTTACAAACTATTTCTATTTATGTGTACTTAACCTAGTTCAAGTATAACCCCTCATTGTTCTGAGACTTAATTAAATGAGAAGCAAAATCTGGAGCTTCCTTAATTGGTAACATTTCATTTTCCTGTCAACTGGACCTTTGGCTGAGCACAGACATAAGGGAAAACACAAAAATCAAAGGACAACTGAATTGAGAAGAGATTGGAGAACTCATCTACGTCAACCCCTTTACTCTGCTGATGGAACTGAAAAGCAAGGGAAGTAAAGTGACTTGCCAAGGTCACACCGTCAGGCAGTGACAGTGGAGACCAAAATACAGATATCCTTATTGCAAATTCAGCTAATTCAGCTGGTTTGGAAAGGCTTTTGACAGGTCTTTAAGAAAGAGACATTACTTCAGTTTGGTCTCACGTCAACTTAGCTATCTGTACCTGAATGGTAGACACATCAAAATGCATGTGTGAAAGATCATTTGAGAGGCACAAATAATGATGATCTGTTATGGCTCCCACCCAGACTCCTCACTAGAGGTGGATGGATAGAGAAACTGCAAGGGAGAAGGCAAAGCCCTACATTTAAGGACATTTTGAATCTATTGGGGCTTTCTGCTGAGCAGAATAAATATACCCATACCCAGCAAGAAATTGGTTCCATGACCTCTCACAGTCAATTGATCAAATGTTTCAAAGTCCAAACCTCACATAAGTGTTTTTTAGCCTCATGTAAGTATCTTTTGTAATTTCATTTATTTTGTTAAGCTGAAATCATAGAAACAAAATTTAAAACTAAAACGAGACTTTAAAAGAGCAACTTAGTATTATGCATGTATTAAGAGAGTGAGTTAGAGGTCTGCCTATTGATTTGGCTCAAATAGCAAGCTGTTAACATGATTCCATTTTTATACAATATTAATAAATACCTGAACCTTTCACATGTTTCTATGTGACTGTATAAGCATAGAGAAATATAGAGTATACACACTAGACTTTTAACATGGTTAGCTCTAATAAAACCAATGACAACAAAGAGGCTAAATACTCATGAAATGAAATTTAAATGAAAAGTCCTGTAATAATATAGGAAACACATAAAATTAAGTATGTAGCTAGATATAAAAGATATACAATTAAAAATCTGGTTTGACTAGGTATCAAAATTAGTCAACTTTTAAAATCTTGAATGTCTGTGGTTATTCAATTTTGCAGTAAGATTGAAAAAAGAGAAATAATTATCTTGATCAATTTTTAAAATGATAAATACATACATTTGTGAGAATTTTTAATAAAGTATACAAAATAGCAATACATGCTGATTAAGGAAAACTTGGGAAATTAAGAAAAGTAAAAAGGAGACATTCTTAGTTCTTTTACTAAAAAAATTATAAAATTGGCTATCATTTTGGTATATTAAAAAAATTATTCTCTTTCAAAGGGTATAATTTGCAATGTTGTTATTCATTAACTCTAATAAATTATCTCAGCAGAGGCAGAGCCTGGATAAGCCCGACATTCACTCTAACGTGTAAACACAAGAAATTCTGCCCATGGCCTATACTGTGTGCACACTCAGTCCAGCTGTAATGGCACAGCTGCTGGACTCTACCGGCCACCACAAGCTCTCCCCTGGGGAGCCAGCTCAGCTACACAGGGAAGGCACTACAGGTATGAACACCAAACCTCCTCTGTAGGCATGTATCTTCTGACAGCCCCTCAGCAGGATGGGGGTATTCTGCTAAAAGTAGGTACCCTGGTGCCTTTAGGTCCAACAGATGTAAACACTGCCCTTAGAAACAAGGTCCTGACTTTGTATCACCTAGGACAAACTGTAAGTGAAATGAACTTTTTAAGTTTGGAGGCTGGACCACTTCTTACCAGCTTTCTAAGGCCATGAAATATTCATGCTTAATCAAGGGTAACAGAATAAATGGAACGTAAAAAGTAAAATGTAAAATGTTTGAGTAGCAGTCCCCAAAAGCAGTAGGGAATAAAACATAGTATAAATAGAAGGGGATTAAGGATATTACCTATGTAGATGTAGGCATACCCTTTCCTAGCAATGGAAGAGAATAAATGTTGAACAACTAAACTTAAAAATTCTGAGCACCTGGAAAAAAACTGGGGTTATGTGGGATACATTTATTTTCTTTGAAGTTATTAAATACAATCATCATGGGCAATAAAGATATGACAGACTTCAAATACTGAATTCCCATGGCAAATCTTTCCAGACAAGGCAGAGTCAGACAATTGTCTTTCTCAAGTCCTAAAACTTCTTTTTGATTGGAAAAGTCCCTATGGAGTAATATGTATCATTTTCTTTCTTTGCAGAGACTAAAAACACTATACTAACATCACATTCAAACTCAGCACATTGTTCCAGTTATTTCTAGTAGTACAAATTCTGCATGTGGCTAGTACATAGAGAATGTAGTCTTAATTTTGAATCCTAATGTTCTCTAATTCCCACCTTGCTTCTATCGTGACTTTCAAATCTTTCAAATTTTCTCCCAAAAAATGCACTGAATCATGCAAAAATAGTGTCATGAATTAGTTAATAAAATTTCTATTTGCAAGAACTAATTACTTAAGAATTTCATTTTGAAAGGGAAGAGAACATTCTGCAGCAGGTAGAAGGGAAAAATGGGGCCAAGGAACGAAGTTTTTTAAAGATAGGAGAGACTTGGGTTGAATACATAGGTACAATAGAAAGGGAGAAACTGAAAAAAAAAACGAGACAGAAATGAGAGACAGAGGTTCTTTTGGAAATGTCTGGGAGCATTTCTTGGTTGTCCCAAAACTTGGAGGGCACTATTAGCCTACAGCAGGTGGGGACAACCATGCTATACAACCCCTCACAATAAAAAAATTTCCCAGTAAAATGTCAACAGCATTCTATGTCCTTCAATCGAGTCATAAAATATTTCCTTACTACATTTTAAAACTAAGAATTTTTAAGGGACTAAATTATACAGTAGATCAAACATGGATTGACCAACAAAGATAAAAACATATAGCTCCTCAAGCCTCTTGATAGTTTGTTTTAAAAGTAATATATTAACCATCCTACTCCATGATCTCTTTAAATTAGAAAAGAATGTCCATAATAAATCACTGAGAGGCCATTTTAACATACTAACATATAAAATAAGTATTATATCCATCCATATTCTGAGAATATAACAAAAGCATACAAATATCTCAGTTAAATTTAAAATATACACACAGACACACATACACTCACAGTCAACACATATTAAGTACTGGAGTTGTAAGTTCTTAAGCTGGTAAAATCATTTTCCCACATACATTGTAAGTTACTATTATAAGCACATACGGATAGCTACAAATTGAGCAGAACATTATGGTGGACTCACCTTGGTTGGCATTTGCACCCTGAGGCAGAGCATTGGTTAAGTTGGGTAATTCACTGCCATGATTTCCGTCTTCCCACGGACAGACATCAACACTATTCCATTTCTTCAGTTGTTTTAGCCAACTGGCCTTTTGCTCCAACTTGCAGTGGGGGTTTAAAACTATACACATCCACAGAGCACCTAATTTAAAGGAGGAAAGGAAAGTAAAATTTTTTAAAATTATAAAAATATCCAATGTTATCAAGTTAAATTGTTTAAATTTATTAAAATTTAAAAATGTAATTTATATTATACTTAAAATTTTAAATTATTTAAATTATCAAGTTAATTATAAACAATTTCAAAATAGACCCAAGTCAGTCATTTTTATAACTCAATTCTCCTTAATGTAAGCCACAAATCCCACAGAGAGTTTACAGAAAGGAGGACAACAGATCCAAGGTTTGAACCAAAGATCCAAATACTCTTACATAATAAAATACACTTCATATTTCACAAATGCCAATAGTAATCAACTTCTTACTTGCATGATATTTTAGATAAAAATGCCAATAACATATACAATCTCAGGGTCCAATTTACAGACTCTATACATGGATACTGCAATATATCACTCCAAATGGTTCTGCACAAAAATTGGATTTACTTTCTAAAATTACTTTTTATAATAAAATCATTAAGGCATATAGTAGACACAAATAACTTCCTCTTCTTATAATTTCAAACTTTATTATGCTTATTAATTAGTATGCATATTTATATGTCAGTAAAATGTGAATAGTTTTGGGCAAAGAAAAGCCAGTAAAATAGGTCTTTCAAAAATAGAATTCATTTAAACACACTTCCCTAAATGATTTAATCAGTAACTGATTTTAAAAATATAGTTGAAATCACTAAATGTATATCTTCATGAGTAAAATTACTAAACTGTAATCAAAATTTCCCTAGTTTTTCAAAAGAAAGGCAATCATACATTTAGAATAAAGGCATAACTCATAATTTGAATAATTAAGGTCCAATAAATTTATTATTCCTTTCTACATTCTTCAAAGTAGAAAATTCAAGCAAATATTTCACAAATTTAAAAAGTTCAAGTTTTACTTAAATTTCAAAGCAAGACAGACACCAGCATTCCAAAGCTTTTCACGACACAACTTCTTTGAAAACGTATGTGTGCGTGTCTGTTTATGTTTTAATCATTTGTTAGTTAAATGCATAATAATGGTAGGAATGAAAACTGTTTATGTTTTATTTGTCCAAAAGATATGGCTTACATTCTTCCTCATTAAAAATAAACACGCTTCTACCATTAGGGCAGGGGTCCCCAACCCCCAGGTTGCAGACTGGTACCAGTCTGTGGTCTGTTAGGAACTGAGCCATGGCCTGTTGGGAACCTGGCCGCACAGCAGGAGGTGAATGGCGGATGAACAAATATTACCGTCTGAGTTCTGCCTACTGTCAGATCAGCAGTGGCATTAGATTATCACAGGAACATGAATACTACTGTGAACTGCGCATGTGAGGGATCTAGGTTGCATGTTCTTTACGGGAATCTAACTAATGCCTGATAATCTGAGGTGATACAGTTTCATCCTAAAAGCATCCTCTCCCACCCCCCAATCTGTGGAAAAGTTGTCTTCCATGAAACCAGTCCCTGGTGCCAAAAAGGTTGGGGATTGCTACATTATAGTATCTATTATTTTAAATATCAAATAGCTTTCATGAACAGAAAACAAAAAGGGCCACAACCTATCTAAGCCACAGATATTTACAACCTGCATTTCTATATTTTAAAATACCTATTAAAAATAAAACATGGCTAGCGAAGATGGAGTAAGCCCATGCCCATCCCTCCCAATGATAACAACAAAAACTTTGGACAAAACACAAAAAGTAGTAGTAACCTAAGGATTCTGAAAAGTAAGAGCAAGCAGATTGGAGAGAGAAAATAAAATCTGGAGAAGCAACCCTGATGGGGGTGACTTGCCATTATGTTTCCCCTTCTTTTTCTCCTAGCATTGAAATAAAATTAGTCCCATCCAGGGAACTTTATAAACGACACATGCAGCAAAAACTTGAGAACCCTCATCTAGCTGGATAAGCACAGGGAAAAAGGACCCCCAAACCAGGAGCTGAAAAGGGGGATCTCTGAATTCTGTGTACAAACTGGTACAAATCCTGGTCACACTTCATGTGCATGAGACAGATCCAAGGCAGTATAACCAAGGTTTTGAAAACTAACTGACATTGGAACTATCACCCAATGGACGGGAAACAATTTATGGTCTGAATCTACCTTGGTTTGCTGCATGCTTTAAGAAATTTTTAAAAACAATCTCCTGAGGATTTCAATTATTTAAACAATCCCCAGGCTCTCATGATACAACATTCAAAACGTCCAGGACCCAAAATTATGTGACTTACAAATAAACAGCAAAATGCCACCAATTCCCAAGGGGAAAAAATAGTCAACAGATACCAAGCAAGATGAACCAGATGTTAGAATTATCAGTCAGAGGCTCTATACCAACTATTATAATTAAGGTCCATGAAATGAAGGTAAACACTATTGAAAGGAATAGAAAGGCAGTTCTCAGAAGTGAAATATAAACTATAAAAAAATGAACTAAACAGAAATTTTAGGGCTAACAAAACAATATCTGAAATTAAAAATTAACTGGATGAGATCAACAGCAGAATGGAGATGACAGAGGGAAAAGTCAGTGAATGTGAAGCTAGAAATGACCTCAACTGAAGAAAAGAGAGAAAAACAACTAGGCATAAATGAGCTGAGCCTCAAAAACAGGTAAGAAAATATCAAAAGGTTTAACATTTATGTCATTCGATTCCCAAAAGATGAGGAGAAGAAAAAAATTGGAAGAAATCATGACTGAAAACCTCCCAAATTTGTAGAAAGATATGAACTTACAGATCCAAGAAGCTTAGCCAACCTCAAATAAGACAAATTCAAAGAAAACCATTCCCAAATATGTCATAAACTGCTGAAAAGCAAAGATGAAGAAAAAAATCCTGAAAACAGAGAATATCAAAATACCATACATAGAAGAATAGTGACTTGAATAATTAGAAGTTTCTCATCTGGAAACAGAATACAATCTTTAAAGGATTAAAAGAAACTAAAGTGTCAATCAGAATTCTATGTCCAGCAAAAACATCATTCAGGAGTGATGATGAAATATAACCACACCCAGATCAGGGAAAATTTACAGTATTCGTTGCCAAGACATCTGTTCTAAAAGAAATGTTGAAGGAAATTCTTTACGCTGAGGAGAAATAGTATCAGAAGGAAACTTGGAAGTTCAGGAATAAAGGAAGAACAATAGAAATGACAAACATCTCAGTAAATAGATCATTTTTGACTTTTAAGTTCTTTAAAAGTATGACTGTTAAAAGTAAGAATTTAAGCAGCATCTTGTGGAGTTTTAAATGCATATAGAGGTACTGCACATGACAACTATAACATAAAAAAAGGGAGAGTAAAGGAAAAAATATACATAAAAACTGTATCTATAAACTATATATACATTTTATATATATATATATATTTGCCATGTTAAATGGCATGTAGAGCCTAACAACCACAAAACTATATACATATACAGTTTATATATACATATGTATATTTTTGTTATATTCTACATGCCATTTAACATGGCAAAAATATTAACTTCAAATAGACTGTGAAAGCTTAGGTCTGTTTACTATAATACTGATACCACCAAAAATATTCCAAGAGATACAAACACAAAGGATAATAGAAATTAAATTATAATAAAACATTTTTAAAATAAGTAATCCAAAAGAAAGCAAGAGAGAGGGAAGAGATGAATGGAAACGGAGGGAATAAACAAAAAACAAATGATTAAATTGTAGACCTAAATTCAACAACCACATCAATAATTATATAAAATATAAATGGTCCAAACATATAAATTAAAAGAAATGGTCAAATCAGGCTAAAATACAAGACCCAAATCTTTCTTATACTGTGTATAAGAAATCTACTGTAAATATAATGACATAGATTAAATGTAAAAGAATGAAAAAATATATACCATGAAAAAACACTACAAAATAAAGCTGGCATGACTATATCAGTATCAGATAAAGCGACTTTAGAACAAGGAATACTATACCAGGTATAAAGAGGGGCATTACATAAAGATAAAAGGGTCAGTTTTCCAGAAAGTTTTCCATAATCCCAGACGACTCTGCTGCACCTCACAATAAGACTTCAAAATACAGGAAGCAAAACTGACAGAACTTAAAGGAGAAATAGACAAATCCACAATTATATTTGTAGACTTCAATATTCTTCTTTCAGTAACTAATAGAACAAGTAGTCAGAAAATTAGCAAATACTTGAACACTGCTATGGTCTGAATGTGTCCCCCAAAGTTCATGTGTTAGAAACATGATCCCCAATGCAACAGTGTTGACAGGTGAGGCCCTTACGAGGTGATTAGGTCATGAAGGCTGCACTCTCAAGCTGTTATGGTGGGAGTGGGTGAGTTATCTCAGGAGTGGGTTTCTGATAAAAGGATGATTTGGGGCCTCTACCAAGGACCCTCAGCCTTGGACTTCCCAGCCTCCAGAACTGTAAGAAACAAATCTCTGCTCTTTATAATTTACCCAGTCTCAGATATTCTGTTACAGCAGCACAGAAAGGACTAAGATGAACAATACCAACCAACTAAACCTGACATTTATAAAGCACTTCACCTAACATTAGCAGAAACAAACAAACAAACACCTACTGTTCATTTATTTATTTACTGAGACAGGATCTTGCTCTGTCGCCCAGGCTCGAGTGCAGTGGAATGATCATAGCTCCCTGCAGCCTCAAACTCCTGGGCTGAAGGAATCATCCCACCTTAGCCTCCCGAGGAGACAGGGTCTCACTATGTTTCCCAGGCTGGCCTCAAACTCTAGCTGTCCTCAAGCAGTCTTCCAGCCTCAGCCTCCCAAAGCTCTGGGATTATAGGTGTAAGCCACTGTGCCCAGCTAAAACCTACTATTTTAAAATGTACAAAAAACATTCACCATGATAGTCTATATTCTAGGCCATAAAACAAATTTTGACAAATTTAAAAGAACTGAAATCACACCAGGTATACATTCTCTGACAAAACAGAATTAACTCAGAAATTAGTAAAAGA